GATGGGAACTCAGGACCTATCCGACAGATCTGAGACTGGAACCCACGGCTTCCACGAGAACCTCAAGTTGGCATTTTGCAGTTGTGTCTTGTCCATGAGTGTATTTTTCAAAGGCTGGACAACAAAGGCTCTCACTGAACCCATTCAATACAGAGGCTTCACCGGCGAAGATATCCAGGACATCGAGGTTCTTAGATGTGCGCAGCCACAAAACAACGCGCACATGGAAGGGGTTGTTCGCAAAGCACCGTCTTTTATATTATATTCCAAGTCCCCAGCTCGGCGATTGACATCTGTGTTTGTTGTAGCTTGGCAAATGAAGTCAATCGCATGTAGCCTTGATTGAGTGTTTTTTGAATAGAGTGCACAAGAAAAACACGCAGTAAACAATGCATCGACGTAGCATGATGACGGGACATCCCAACAGCAGAGCCAGCATCATCCCATTCCGAGTCATAGCCAAAGGCGATGATCTCCACTCCGGGTTCGCGGGAGGCATGGCACTAGGACTCACAATACCCCAACTACTTGACCTGAAAGCCCTTCACATTTAATTAATTAAGTACAAAGCATCACACGAATAAATTCAGATTCAACCCGCTCCACATGATTGCAATAGCAAGACACTGAGTCCACGCTTCATGGCTGCATGCTCACACGCACCATATTGTTCACGCTGAGCTGGCAGCTGGAAGGTCCCCGATCCAAGCCACGGCCAGAAGCTAAAAGATAGATCGATGATCGAACTCGAACAGTGTGGGTTTTCAGGCCCTGTGGAACAGAACCCTTACTCCCGAAGCAGCCTTTCAAGAAATGAATCACTCAATGCCAAACAAGAATCACAAGTTGTTCAAAACACATGCATGTCCAGTTGCTCGATGGGCAGTTTCCACACGTTCGCAATTTGAAACAAAACATTGGCTCCTATCCTATCATGTCTCACTCCTTCGGAGAACGCCATCCAGCAAATCGGGTAGCCCACTCCCACCTCACATGAAACATGTTCTTCGATGGTGACCTTTGAACCCCACCTTAATTTCTTTCATCACCAATCTCCGATGGTTGTGGTTTTTATGTTTAGCAGAACTTTTGCTAAGCCCCCTGTGGCCCAAACGCAAAGGATACACCGCCAGAAGCTGACCATCCAAAGGTCATGCCTTCCGAGCTGTTCGCCTGAAAGAAGAGATGTGCAGTCAATGGTTCATGTGGGACTCTTGGCTTGGTCCAGGTGTGTAGTGCCCTGAGGGAGGAAGATGGATCTTTACATATTCTTGCCAAGCAGCAGAGAACTTCACATCCAATACTTCGTTGATGGACGCAATACGATTCTTGGGCACCTTGTACACGTAGAAAGATCCACTCGACTTATTGAGCCTTATCAGGTTTCCCATTTGTTGCTGCTCGTTCAACCATGTCCGCTTTGAGTTGAAAATTGTTGCTTATCATTCACTCACTCTATATCGATTATATATCTAAGCTAGTATCTAAGATTTGAGCATCACTCCAATCGAACAGCTGGTCTCCCCATCAACAGCATCAGATCCACGAGGATCTCGTAGGGTAAATGTCCTCCAGGTCACTGGCAAGCCACAACCCCCAAGACTGTTTGAACAATTGGGAAGCAATAGATTCCATGATATCACAGCTAAGGGCTACACTTCCGCTTGGTCCAATCATTTGGCGGCTCGAAGAACTTCAGGGAAGGAGCCGCTGCCGTCAAGGTTTCAGCATTGGTTTCCTCGGGACATCGTAGGATAAGTCTGATTTGCTTTTTATACTACATTTTTTCAGGTACACATGGATCAAACAAAATGTGTTTCTTTGGTGATTGCCCGCAGGGTCCTGAAGAGCCTCCATAACCACCGCCGGAGTGCCTTCTTTTTTCTTTGCGCTTTTAGAGGCAGCCGAAGGTTCAGGCTTTTGTTTCTTCTTTGGCGATGCTTTCTCTTTTGGCTTCTCTTTCAAAACTTTGCTCTTCCCCTTTCTTCCACCTTTGCCCTTTCCCCTTCCTTTCCCCTTTCCCCTAGTTGCAGATCTTTTTCCTCCATCAGCGCCCTCCGCTTCCTCAGCTTCCTCAACAAGTTTTTTATCTGGGTCTTCTTCTTCTTCCTCTTCTGGATCGGTCTTTGCACGTGCAGCTTTCCTTACCATTTTTTGTGCCTTCAATGGTTGCATTGTGGAAGGGTCAATTTATGTCGTTTTTGCTTAATATACATTATAGAGCTATTCCCGTCACACCCAAAAAAAACTGACCCAGTACTCCAGTAGTGCCTCCAACAAATCAGCATCATCATTGTTGGCCTTCATTTGCCGCACTTGCGCCTCCACTTGCTTCAACAAAGCATCTTTGGGTAGATCACTCAGCTTCTCCACCAAAGGCTTTCGGTCCTGATTCAAGTTTTTTTGAAAAATGATCGATTGATTCTTTAAAGCCACCTGGACTCCCGACAGATTGCAAGTCAATTTAAACATAACAATTTCAACACTCCGGTCCTTATGAACACCTTTGACACCTTCTTTCTGTTCTTTCGAAGGCGTTGCGTCGGCCGACTCTGAAGCAATGGAGACATGGTCTGGTGTTTTGGGACTTTCATCTACAACTTCCTTTTCCTCCACTTTGTGCGTAGGGTGCACAATACAAAGCTCTTCCGACGTTGGTTCTTCCTTCACAGGTGCCAGTGAATCCGACGAACCCTGCGCATCTGAGAAGTAGGAGAGCTGTGAATCCTGGTACTGTTGGGACATAGGATCCAACGGTTCAGACTTTGCTTTGTTATATTCTTCCTTCTTTTCTGTGAATTCTTCATTTTCTTCTTCTTCCTTTTCTTCCTTCTTTGCGCTGTTGATTTCTTTGGTTTCTTCTGCTTCTTCTTCTTTGGTTTGCACTTTTGCCTTCCGAAGAAAGGGTGTTTCGTAGAACATGACAAGTACTGCAAACAAGTTGACACTGAATCTAACCAGCTGTTGCAATCAGTGCCTTCTTGTGTTTTTTCAGCACTAGCGGCATCACTGGAGCGTCCGGGCGTAGCACGCTTCTTGCCACACTCATCGATCAACCCCCTTTCCTGGGCAGGTGGATTTGACATGGAAGATGTTGAAGTACTCAACATTGTTTTGCTGGCAGAAATGCGAAGGAGGTGTGACTCAATTTGGCTAAACAGCTATGTTGTACCTTGAGGCACTCCATCACAATGCACTTCAAATCATTCATCTTTTCATGCCCTGACCTCAATTGGGAACATGATCGAACCATGCTACTTGCTGTTAACAAAGACTGAAGTGACAGTCAAAAGTGGCTGGTTAGGGCGGTTAGGGTGCTGACCGGGACTTGGGTGTGCGGACGGTGCGATTGGTCACATATGAAGCCAAAGCCCGGATTTGCCCCGCTTCAATGATCGACCACCCCTGCATGCAAGGAGGATGTTCATCTTCAATGTTTGACTTCACTTGAAAAGACTGTGCCACAGCCATGCCTCATGCTTGGCAAAGGTATCAAAATTGTTGAGCTTCTTCTTGTATGAGAGATTCGCCAGAACCGTCTTGCAAAAGTGTGATCGATTCTGGAACTACCTAATTTATCTCAATTTCACAGGCAAGCCTTCTGAACAACATTGACAACAAAAAACAGTCCTCAACCTCCTTCTCGGTTGGAAGATCACCAGTGAATTGGGACAAGTACTCGACCAGGAATAGAAAGTTGCTATCATTTTCTACCTGCAGTGCAACGCCGTGCCGCGCGAAAAACATCTGTTTGTTACATTCAGATCACGTTTTCTTTCTGCAGCCTGTGCTTCTCCAACAGTGGCCGATCTGACGTCCACAAAGGAAAAGACCTTGTTTGGAAAGTGGGTGAACCAACACCGGTATGTTTTATCCCTGCATGCAACAGGTCTACAGGAGTATAATGAGACCCCGACCGCCCCCTTTCCAATAGCTTCCCGGATCTCTTTGCGGCGGGTCTTGATGTACTGCTCGGTCGTGAGTTCCTCGAAAAAGGCCTCTCCAAAAAACAATTTCCAACGAACCACAAACAAACTGAGATTTGAACTTCCAAGAGCTCACTTGTTCCAAGCCTCCAGGAGACCAAGCCGGCTTTCTGACATTCTCGCTTTCCGGTATGGCATGTACAAAAAGCCAGCTGTGATGTAGTTCACTGTAGTTCACTACACTTTGTGATGTATTGGGCTTTGATGTTTCACCTTGAATCCGTACTTATTTACTTTCATATCAACTGTTTTTGAGCCATGTTCCTCAAAGCCCAGGGCAGACTCACACTGCAGTGTAAGATCATGTCAACTTGCATCGCTTCGATGAGAAAAAAATGCTTTCCAAAGAAAACAGGATCCAGCAATGGTGGACCGGGAGCACCTCGTGGATTGACATCTCCTTCATCAGAGGAATTACCATCGATACCAACTTGGCCTTAGATTCCCAGTCAAATGTCAGCACTCAAGATCGGAAGGAACCATTTAGGCCACACAGATCTAACCCAGTCCAAGAAGCCCAAGAGTAAAGCTCGCTTCATTGCAGCTACCTTTGGATTCAAGATGATTCAAGATTTTTGGGGCAGGTCGAACAAGACATAATGATTCTCTAAAAGTTGTTGCAAGCGGCCACATTGGATTTTCCATGGCCACTTCGCCATGGCCCGAGGAAGAACTGCTAAGATGAACCCCCAAAAAACCACTCAGATCTGTGCCCAGGGCTCACCAAATTGCACATGGATGATCATTCAGTGCATGGTTCTTTGATGTTCTTTGGCTTTGGCTGAGCTCGGTCCAAAACTGAGCCACCACGCCAAAGTTTAGTCGACATGCAAAGACTAGGCAAAGCCTAGTCGAGGACTCTGTGGGTATATATATTAATAAAACCCCAAATAGTACTTTCTCAGGAGGTTGTCGAAAGCCTTGGCAACTGAACGATAAAAACAAAATCATAAAACAAACTCCAAAACGTCCTGTCCCCTGTGCATCCTATCAAAGACCAATCCGATGACAGTCCTCGTCAAGCCGTTTACCATGCTGCTTGATGCTCAGGGAGATGTCATACTCAATTTGACCTTCATCAAACAGCTACGTGCTCGAAGTCCGACTCCATAAGCAAGCGACTTACCTTTGAGAGTTCAGACTTTTCTTATTGGATGGTATGATACCTTCTTGAGGTCTACAGTATAATAATCAGCCTTCAGCAGCAGCGAACCCATAAACCCATGGCATCAGAGCAAGTCATGCACATGGATTTCAGCCTTTTGGATCCAAGAGCTGCTGAGCCAATCCACGCCCAAACGGGTTTGCGGGTGAAGGCTGAGCTGGATGGTCCAAGGATTCTGGTGGATTGCCCAGAGGTTGACCCGAAACAATTCCTGCTTTGTTCGGTCCAAAACCCGAATTTGTGAGGATGAAAACCCCAGCAACAAAATGATAGCAAAGCTTTCTAAGCCGGCAGGGGCGGCATCGGTGGGCCATTTCTCTTCAAAACCTCAAAACCAAAAACAAAACACCGAAAAGCTCGGGCCGTTCTCGTTCTCGTTCGTTCCGCAAACCCAGCGGCGTCCCGGATGCCCCGGGCTTTCCCTTAAGGGTTTCGCCCCACCCACCGAGCCACGATAAAGCGAAGACCATCGCTCCACCCATCGAAGGCTCATGCGCTTCTGTGGGACCTGACAAAAGCCGGCGATCTTTTCAGATTGGCCTGAAAACTGGCCTGTGTCTGGAGATGTTAGCCAGTTTCTGGAGGAGGTGTTGTTGTTTCTCTTTTTTTCTTGCGGGGAGGGCGGCATGCAAAAGTCCTCAAAACCGTTGAAACCCTTCGGGTCGATGGCTTGCAGGTCGGCAAGGGTGTTTCACCACCCACCCACCCCGTCGTGGCGCCATTGCTCGGGTCGGCTCGCTCGCGCGCCTTGGTCAAGGCATGCAGGTCCTTCAGGATCTTCGGCACGTCCGGTAGGAAGGCTTCCTCAAGGACCTGACGCTGTGTGGGAGGTAGGACATGCACGTCCAAGCCTCCCCAGATGTTGATGTCCTCATCAACATTTTCCTTCGGCAACAGGACATCCTTCAATTTCGGTGATGCATGTGTTTTTTTTGAAAAGAAAAGACACAAACACATTCTGGTCCAATTCGATTCTGAAAGTGGATGCACAATCACTACGTCACCTCATTTCCTCCCAAACCCACCGACCCGCCCCACGGATGGTACCGAGCAGCACAGCGATCACAATGACAGGTGAAGTCGTAGTTTTCGCCTCAGGGAATGAGAATGAAAGAGTGGCAATGACCAGGACCCTCCAAGGGGTGCCCAATGGAAGCCTATAGGTAGTGTGGGGTAGTTCATTGGACACCCCGACAGGAGGGTCCTGGGATTATGTCCATGTCCACAATCTGCACCTATGGGCCTAAGGGGGGTCTGGTGGTTGGGGACTGAAAAGCTTCCGGATGAACCATCTGATGGTGCCCACAGGGCCGGCCGACACCCCAGCGATATCCAACACTTCAACTCTCGAGCGCTGGACCAAAATTCTTCACCAAACAACCACCAAGTCAATCCACCCAGCTAAGTTGGTTCCTGCTCACACACATTGGAGGCATGTTGCTCTCGACTTGGTCACAGTCTTTTCGTCTGGAAAACAAACAGGGACTGATGGTCATCAACTGCAGGATGGTTGTTTTCGTCACTATTAGTGAGTAAACCTCCTGGTCCTTTACCTGACATGCCGCACTCCCCACTCTCATGAATCCTGCAAACTCGGATGCACTCTCCTCCGGCCACTTGGACTCCCCAACTGAGCTCCTTTTGTCTCATCGTCCATGGTCGGTCGATGCGACAGTAGCTGCAGAGCAACTCATCCCCTGCCTGGGCGCTGGCTAGGTGCAGTAGCTGCGGCAGTAGCTACCGGGTGTCGAAGGTCGTGTGTGTCCAAATGAAATGCTCGAATTTGTAGAATCATGTATACAATCTGTAGACAGTTTCGTAAGTCACCTCCCCATCTCCATGGGACTCTCCTTGGGGGGGTGACATGGGCTTACTTTGGGGTGGTCTTTTGATCATGTCTTGATGACTCAGTTGGACCAACAAATCATGTGGCTCGAGCTCAGTTCGACCTTTAGATGTCTCCTTGTCGTTTCCTCGTGCCGTTTCCTCAGCCCGGGTGACCCGCCTTCAACGCCCGGGTGGCGCGGCAGGTCAGCACGTCGCCCAGGAAGGTGAAGCTCACGTTGGGCCTGGCGCAGCTCCAGTCGTTCGGAGTTTTTCACGACTCCGAAGGGTCGGACGGTCCGGTGTGCAAATCCCTCCGTGAAGGTCCTGGCCAGGACTGAAGCCAACGATTTGCGAAATGATTGGCCTTTCAATCGCCATTTCGTGCGCGACCAAGGTATTTTGTATGTTTACTAGGATATTATACCCTATAGGGATACAGTCGTACCTTCTCAGAAGGTACGACTGGACCCTCCTGGCACCTACATAGCAGTGTCTCCAATCACCATACCTGAGAAGGTACTCGGATCCCTATAGAGTACATAGTCTTAGATTCTTTTTTAGGTCCGCGGAAATAAGGAGATCATTGACTCCCTGACCCCATCAAAGCAACAATCTTGGAAACCAAACAACAGGAGCATCGCTCGTATATGTAAGGGCCTAATGAGGGGGCCCTACTTGTTCTGAAGCTACTCATTGGACTCTAGGGTGGAGGTGAAATGACCTGCGCGCGTTGTTGATAGATGCCATAGATGATGTCATGGCACCCAGCTGGATGCACCATGGCATGAGAACAGGGGGCTGAAGCCAACTATTTGCGAAGGATTGGCATCCTTTCAATCTCCACTTTGCGCGCGACCAGTTTGTATATATGCTTAGTATTAGTATTCTGTTGATTTCTAGTGAATCCTGATCTTCCTCCCCCCCATCCCCTGCACACCCACACGTCCAAAACCACCCACCTCGCCTGCAGGAGTGGTTCACCATGGCTCCTAAAATCCACACGCCCGCCACGCCCGACCCCTCTGCGTTGCTCCCCTCGGCGCTCGCGTCGCTGGCATCGGAGGGTTCGCCCTGATGGAGTGACCAGCGGCTTAGGCGGTTGAGGCGCAGGATCCTGCGAATCGAATGGCGGTTCGACATCGACGATGCGGTTCGACGTCCCGAACCAGGACAAAGGAAGGACATTCATTCCTGGCGGTTTCTATGGGGATGTGGTTTCCAATGCCAGATTCCAGAAAGCACCAGGACCATTACCAAGCTGCGCCGCTGCTTTCCGGCGGAATGAGACTCTCTCCCAGAAATCCGATCTTGGATGCATGGCAATCGCATTGTAATTCAGTGCATGAAGGAACAAACCATGCTTTGGGAAGAAGACCTGATGACCCAGTGCTCCCGCTGGAGCACCATTCTGGCTTCAGCTCCGGTTCCTTTTGTCCAGATGAATGGCCAGTGAGTTGATGATTTTGTCTGATTTGGCTCTATAATCCATAAAAAACATGTTGAATTGTACGTATGTGATACTATTGGTGATACTAATCTTTGTGATACCCTTTTGGGTGATACCGATCGAACTTAGATCTCAACCATGGCTGCTTTAAAGTCCAGGTTGGCTTCGGCTGTGCCGCGCGTGGAACTGCCATTGGTGATACTGACATGAACACCATGTTCAATTCGTCCACCGCAAAGGTGCGCTTCACCCGCAACCTTATCAATCTCACCCAATCTCACCCCTCAGATGGATGATCAAAGGATGCAAAAGGAACTTCTCAGCCTACGGCCAAAACGGTGTTCTCTCCTCTCCAAAACAACCAGTGACAAAAACTGGTGACATTGGTCCAAAGACCGCAAAGAACATCCTCCAACTCCCAGTGACAGGGGTCTAGATTGTGGTTTCCACCACGAATCGGACCGGCAGAAATTCCGGACCCCAAAAACACATGTTTAATTCAAACAAGCCGCGGAATGAATTCGGTTAATTTTGCAGATTCCAAATAAGGAATCTCCATTTCGATGGGCTTACAAAACAAAACAGCGCGGCTCTAAGATACTCATCCCACCCCACCAGCCGCGGATTGCCCCGAGGACTGCAGCGTCGGTCGACTCCTGGTCACTCGCTCGTGGTCGGCCTCCTGCCCGGTCACTTCAGGCACGCTCCGGGCCACCTCGGGCGAGCTCTCGGCCATGCGTGGACTCGGCACGGTGGACTCGGACTTTTTGGAGGTTCCAGTAACTACCGAAGGATCAGTAGCGTCCTTGCTCCTAGTAGCTTCTTGTTCCTAGTAGTAAGGCCAGGAGCCCCTAGTAGCGTCCTTGTTTCAAAGATAGGAGTAAAATGACGTAATTGAATGTAATCTATAATGACAAGGGTCTAAAGGCCGCACTGAGGAAAAAATGAGAGTCAAAGGTGTATACAATGTAGATATCAAAAGCATCCAACGTGGATGTCGAGCTAGGAACATACCGCATACAGGTCATTACTCTTAGATACACGGTCCTGGTACGAGTAGGTCTCTCATCACTTTCACTCCCATTGTGGGCTCACTTGCAGCACGAGTTGCTGCTAAGTGTTTCTTTTTGTGCATGTGGGGGCCAGTGAAAAAGAGATGTATAGATTATAAAATCAGTTCTACAACATGAAACAACCCTAAAGTGTTCAGCTGTCTCCTGCGGTCGTTTTTCTAAAAGGCTTCGCCTCCCCAGCGGCGAAGAGTCCATGTCAATCGACAAACTGGGGTACAGCCGCGTCGGTTACGCCTCTTTTTGGCCAACCAGCCGCCCCACAACTTCCAGCACCACCCAGTTTTTGGAACTGGATGGTGAAAGGAAGGACACATACGGGGTGTCTATCACCTTCGATTTGAACCACCCAAACTCCCTGGTGCCGATGGGTGCGGGATCCTCGGCCCTCCCCCACGTCGGCGTGGCGTCACCCAGTGGCACGTCCGGGGAGCAGCTCGTCGACCACCGGAGCGGCATGTTGACCATCGAAGAGGCTAAGGAACCTGAAGGTGAAGGAGCCCACTGGTCTGGGAGGAGAACGCAACATCTCCATCGCCCACGGACCAGTTCCTTCTTTCTTGTGCTGCGAATCCAAACAAAATTGAGAAATACAGTAGTCACCCGATTCATATACAGTAGCTCAAAAGTTCTTCTATAATCTTCTATATAAGATCAGGAACCTGCAAGATCGGTGTTGCAACACTCTGAAGATTAGTGTATATTTAAGAAAAAAAAAAAAAACGTGCAAGCGCACAATTGCCACGTTCAGTTTCAGGATTGGTGGAAGGTTTCAGGTCTGATGAGTGGTCAGATCATGATCAGATCTGCCAGTTTGGATGGCTCGGACTCAAATCATCACAACTGGTGACCTGCATGGAAAGAACCAGCACCTGCCCCCGTTGGAACCAAACGCATTCCCAAAGAAAAGTGTCATCAACTCCATGCTGCGGATGTTTACCCAAAAACACGACTAGTCTGGGCTGTCAGTCCGGACTGCCTTCAAAAGGGCCAGGGGTGGTTGGTGGACCAGGGGGGTTGGCCATGGGGTGGCAGTCCGTCCTGGTAGTCTATGGGTCGTGTCTGGGTGATTCCTACAGATCTTCATCACTCCCAACGACTCACTTCATCACTCCCTTGGACTCCTCAGCCCCCCGGGTTCAGAGCATCGTTTCTCCCTCGGACTCCCCCCATCCCGGCGAAGCCCGGCGAGCCCGCTGCAGCTCGTCACCTGTGCTTCTGCAGCTCATCGCAGTCGTCCAGGGTGGCGAAGGCGGAGTTCAAAAGCTGGTCATTGGTCCCCAGCAGCCAGGCCTCGAGCGAGACCTACTGAGAAGCGAGGACTAGTGCGAGACTGACGGAAGAGGATGAGGGATGTCAGTGCGTTTGCTTCCAGAAAAGAAGGCGAGTATAGCCTCAAAGATACGCCAAGATTCAGTTAGACAGGATGCTTTATGATGCTTTATGTTATTTGTTGATTGGAAATAGCTCCAGGTTCAGATTTCACTCGTCTCCAAGACATCATCCTTGTTTCCTGCGGTGATGACAACTTCCAGGTTTTCCATGGATTCTGAGGACGGTTCCGTGTGGGGGTGAACCCCCCGTCCCATCTCCTCTCCCTCTGCTCAAGCCTTATCAACGAAGAGCAGCTCGCCAATGGCTGTGTCCCGTCGAGCCTGTGCAAGCTTTCGATTTGGGCCATGTGCCTCCAACTTGGCCATCCTTCGACCTGTTTTATCGATTTTGAGCGCCCCTCCCCCCAAAAAGAGCCACTAGCTTCTGACGACCGCCAGACCCGAGCGAGGTCAAAGAAGGCAGCTCCCTAGATTGAAGAAACTGCCAAATTGAGATGAACATATGTTCCCCTACTTGAATTGGGACCCTCAACCTACCAACCCTTGCGCCCTTGGAGAAAAGACTCCACCAAACCCACTACCTGCTATAGGTAAGGCAAGGAGTGGCCAAGGGGCTTGTGGTGAACAAGGGGGGGTTCTTCGGGGAGATGACATCTCCCCTTCATTGAAGTACACATCCAAACCAGCAGTCACAAAGGGGTGCTTAATGGAGGTTAGGGTGCCCATTATCCACTCACTGGATGGGACTAAACACCACCCCTTTGTGACTGCTCCAAATTCTTCCCTCCCTCCTTCTCTTCGTGGACGGTCCTCGTTCTTCCATCCAAGCCACTGCCAGTCCTCGCCCGTGGACTTTGGACTGAATGGGCACCACCGGCTCGCTGTAGGCTGGCGCGTGGTGGTGAGTCCCCCCAATGAAACAACGGCCGAGGACGAGTCTGAATCGTTGTTTGTCTTGTTCGTTTAAACGAAGTTGTTTGATCAATGTCAATACAAGAGACGATGAAACAACATGCATGTTCATGAAAACGTGGGTGCATCGCAACGGGCATTTTGGGACCCTCATGACAGATTCACTAAGATCTAAGTGTCAATGAAACGTACTGGTTTTGATTAAACATCTATCCCTTTGTTCCAATACGTTTCATTCCCACCTTTGGTCCTTTGCTCCAGCTGCGCCCCCCCCTGGGCGCAGCGGACCCGTCTCCTGTGATGCATAGCTTCGCCAAGGGCTTGGGAGAGCCGACGAGCGCCAAGGGATCCGCCTGACATCGGCGGAAGAGATGCGACTGTCAGACCCTGTCGGACTGTCGATGTGTTGATCCGCGCGAAGGATCAACGACAGCATTTGAGAAACGCTTTGGCTTAGGTGGCTATTCTGGCAGACTCCCTTTTCAAGCTTAGGGGTCCTGGTATGTTATGTATGCCTACATTCACCCTTCAGATCCTTAATGTATAGGCAGTTACTGAGATTCTGTACATGAAGTGGCTGGGAGATTCACCAAGCAAAATGCAGTGTCTAGCAAGTCTACTCCTTTTTGAATGTGCTTGTTCGGGTTCCAGCACGTGCTGGCGATTTTTTTTTGTGAGATCATTAAAGCCAATTCAAACTATGTAGAGCTGTATAGGGAGTGGGCAGTAAAGAAAGAACATCCACAATGGGGTCTAAGATTTGACCCTATTCTAGAGATGATCTGTGCCAGGCTCTGCCAGAAATGTTGATCAAATTGATGTTTTATGATGGTTTTATATGTACCATTATCTACTTACCCTATTTCCTCACCTTCGACAGCCACTAACTACCTTTCATGAAAAGAACAGGCCGAAGCATGGACCCAAAAAATAGCAGCTATAGCAGCTTTGGTCAGGATGCGCTTTGCCGTATCTACCATCTTCAACGTATGGCAGTGGGTCAAAACTAGAACCACCAAATAATGGAAGATTGACTTCCCTGATAGAGGAATCTGTTGACCCATGGTCAACCGGTCGGTCCCCAAGTGTTGTTCCACACAGGGCCCCGGGCCTTCTTGGCCCAAAAACGGTCGTGATGACGGTTGATGTATAGCCATAAACGGTCGAAGAGCCGTCATTTGGCGTGGAGACGGCCAGAACGTTCTTCCCGGAAGCTCCAGTGACTGAAGAATTCAGTGCATGGGTTTGTTGGGTCACTCTTATGGGATTATGTTTCCAGCGGTTCACCGGCCGCGCAGCAGTATGCGGACTCGTTCTGACTCGTGATTGGTTCGTTTCCTGAGGTATGGGGAATGATGGACTGCAAGTTCTCCAAAGCGACGGAGTGTGAAAGGCCTGTCTCATAGTATGATGCAAGGATCTTCCACAACGTCATGCATTGCTTCATAGCGATGCTTTGCTTCCTAGCAGTGCTCCTGGGCAGTGCCTCCAAGAGAGTCGCTTCGTGCATGGCTTATATAGGCGTCGATGTGTGGACGAGTGACATCCCTTGATCAGCTCTGCGATGCCCTGGACTTGGGTTTGTATTGACATAGGGAGACACCCAGCCAATGGGTGTTTCATGGTTTTAATCCATTTCCCTCCTTCCAGGGGGGGTTGTTGCTTGGGAGGTCTCCCTATTTCAATACACACCCATTGAAAGAACAACCGTTGGAGGATGTTGGAAGCAATACTGTGCAAAAAACAAACCCTGGTGACTCCTGTAGCGCATCTATCTCTGAGCCTTCAGAGCCTCGAGAAACACGCAACAAAAAACAGGGTGATGGATGTTCAGGTGCCAGGTTTGTTCTGTGGGGTTGTCATAAGGAATACCTGGACCCTCCAAGGGGTGTCCAATGGACTACCCCACACTACCTATAGGCTTCCATTGGGCACCCCTTGGAGGGTCCTGGTATATGGACTATATACAGAAATCCGCCAAACAATTCTCATATCCACCGATTTAGATGATTGATTCTTGATAAGTAAACTGGGAGACTGGGAGATTCGTGTATTTACTGGAACAATCCAGAAAGGCAAAAACGCTCAGTAATAATGTTGCTCGTTCAGGAGGGTCCCGTTACAATCTTCAAAGGAAGTTTAGTGTGCAAAACTTCCGTGTTACGGACATTCAACAGCTGTTCAACCACCACTCATCATACACCACTCATCATACACCACTCATCATGCACCGCTCATCACACACCACTCATCATACACCACTCATCATACACCACTCATCATACACTATACTCATCATACACCACTCATCATACACTACTCATCATACACTACTCCTCATACACCACTCATCATACACGACTGATCACACACCACCCATCATACACCACTCATCATACACCGCTCATACACCAGCTCAAGCTCGTGGCAGGTGCAGCACTTTGTGAACCTCCATGTGCAGATTTCGTG